CAAGAAGACAGAGCATCACTTGCCCCAGAGCCCCTATCTATACCTTGTGGCCAATAGCCTCTGCTCCATAGGCTTATCTAATTCCCTTTTGAAGCCGTCCATGCTTGTAGCCGCCACCACTTCCTGTGGCAGTGAATTCCATGTGTTCATCACTGTTTAGGTGAAGAAGTACTTCCTTTTATCCGTTCTAACCCAACTGCTCAGCAATTTCATTGAGTGCCCACGGGTTCTTGTATTGTGAGAAAGGGAGAAAAGTACCTCTTTCTCTACCTGCTCTATCCCATGCATAATCTTATAAACCTCGATCATGTCACCCCTCAGTCGTCATTTCTCCAAGCTAAAGAGCCCTAAGCGCTTTAACCTTTCCTCATAGGGAAAGTGTTCCAACCCTTTTAACATTCCAGTTGCCCTTTTCTGCACTTTTCCCAAAGCTATAATATCCTTTTTAAGGTGTGGTGACCAGAACTGCACACAGTACTCCAAATGAGGTCGCACCATTGATTTGTATAGGGGCATTATGATATTGGCTGATCTGTTTTCAGTACCCTTCCTAATAATCCCCAGCATAGCATTGGCCTTTTTTATTGCAGTCACACACTGTCTCGACATTTTCAGTGAGTTATCTACTACGACTCCAAGATCTCTCTCTTGTTCAGTCTCAGCCAGTTCAGACCCCATCAGTGTGTATCTATATTTAGGATTTTTGGCTCCAATGTGCATCACCTTGCACTGGTAACCCTATCATAATATCCTTCAATAATCAAAATGGCAGGGAAGGCGAGAGTTCGTTTGGCATTGCCGCCTTCTGCATAGCAACCCTGGGCTTCCTTGGTGGTCTCCCATCCAAGCACTAACCAGGGCCAGTTCTGTTGAGCTTCCAAGCTCTGGCTAGTCTAGGCTATTCAGGCTGGTATATTTCTCTTGCATAGAATGAGGAAAAGGGGCTGTGGCTGAGGAAATCTATCAAGGAAGAAATCAATCCCATCCTTCCAAAACTCTAGTTTAGCTACGCTATTATTTTTGACCCACCTCCAAGCAACCCAGAGCATCCTGTCCTCAGTTTCATTCTCTCAACAACCTGGTGAGATTGGGGGGGAGTCACCACTTTCTCTCACCTTGTCCTACATTTACCCAATGAGCTTTGTGTGGATTGGAACCTAGATCTCCATACAGGCCTAGTCAAGGCCTGGGACCATAATATCCAGTGATGGATTGGATCGCTGATCTCCTATCAAAAGCATGCACTTTCCAGAGGCACCTGGTTAACCATGGTGTGAATTAGGAATTCAGGATGCTGCTCCATTGCGGCGGACCTGTCTCTCCATCTAAGCATTGCACCACACTGAACGCATGATGCTCGACAGTGAACAATTCATGTAGTGTTTGTAAGATTTTTATTCTTTACTATCTTGCTTTTCTCTTCAGTGGGTACCCAAATCAGCACACACTATCCTCCTCCCTGTATAAATTGATGGTGCAACCTCATTTGGAATACTGCGTACAATTCTGGCCACCACCACACCTCAGAAAGGATATTATAGCATTGGGAAAAGTGCAGAAAAAGGCAACAGAATGATAAAAAGGTTGGAACACTTTCCCTATGAGAAAAGGTTAAAGCACTTGGGGCTCTCTAGCTTGGAGAAATGACGACTGAGGGATGACATGATAGAGGTTTACAAGATTATGCATGGGATGAGACAGGTACAGAAAGAAGTACTTTTCTCCATTTCTCACAATACATGAACTCGTGGGCACTCAATGAAATTGCTGTGTAGTCAGGTTACAACGGATAAAAGGAAATACTTCTTCACCCAAAGAGTGATTAACACATGGAATTCACTGCCACAGGAGGTGGTTGTGGCGGCTACAAGTACGGACAGCTTCAAGAGGGAATTGGATAAACATATGAAGCAGAAGTCCATCAGTGGCTATTAGCCACAAGGTATAGATAGGAACTCTCGGTCTGGGGCAAGTGATGCGCGGTATTCTTGGTGTTTCGGGGGGGGGGGCAACAGTGGGAGGGCCCTACTGGTGGATCTCCTGATGGCACCTGGCATTTTTGGCCACTGTATGACAGAGTGTTGTGCTGGATGGGCCATTGGCCTGATCCAACATTGGCTTCTTTTATGTTCTTATTTTATCCTCACAACAACCCTGGAAGGTTGGTCAGGCTAAGTGAGGAACTCTGTCCCAAGGTCACCCAGTGAGCTTCCATGGCAGAGTGGAGATTTGAACCTGGGTGTCCTAGATCCAAGTCTGATGCTCTAACCACTACAACCACGCTCGCTTTAAACCCCAGAGGCGCTGTTCATTGGTTTTATTTTGAAAGTGAACATGTGCCGGTTCTTCGTTACAATCAGATGCACATGTGGGATATATGCTCATTCACTGTGACGTGTGTACAGTTTGACCAAGGGTCAGGTTGGCCAGGCTGGGCTGATTGACTTGGGGTCTGCCCCCTGGGCCATCCTGACCGCAGGTGAGGTGGACGGGAACCAGCACCCGCTGCCAGTCCTCGGCTCATGGGAATCAGGAGGTGCAAACTGGCAGCTCTGTTATTCTTCCCTTCCCTTCTGTTGTTTGGGTGGGCTAGGGCCTTTGACCATTTTTGCCTCTCAATCCACCCTTGGTCAGATCACTGGTCTACAATCCCAACTCCGCTACCTTATTTTGTCTGATTAGGAATCTTTGCCGATAGATCAAGATGGGTAGCTGCGTTGGTCTGCCTGTAGCAGCAGAAAAAAACCAATGTGAGCAGCGACTCAGGAAAGCTCATTCCCTGCCTCAGATTTTGTTAGTCTTTAAGGTGCTACTGGACTCTTGGTCTTTTCTAGGAATCTTTGCTGTTAGATTCAAATACTTTGGTATTTGGTTAAGACACTGAACTGCAGACTGTGGAAGGTCAGTAGTTCAGCAGTTCGAGACCCGGGTGCCGCATGATGGAGTGAGCTCCCGTCTCTAGTTCCAGCTCCTGCCAACCTAGCAGTTCGAAAGCAAGAAATTGCAAGTAGATAAATAGGTACCACTTCGGTGGGAAGGTAACAGCGTTCCGTGCGCCTCGGCGTTTAGTCATGCCAGCCACATGACCACGGAAATGTCTTTGGACAGCGCTGGCTTTTCGGCTTTGAAACGGAGATGAGCACCGCAACCCTAGAGTTGGATTCGACTAGCTTTTGAGCAAGGGAACCCTTACCTTTTTTACTGATGGACTGAAAAGCTTTTTTCTTTTCTTTTTTTAAATCACACTTGGTATCCTGCCTTGGGACCTCAGTGAGAAAGGCAGGCTATAAACAAGAATAACAATATTATTTATTATTATTATTTATTTGATTTTTATCCCGCCCTCCCGCCGAAGCGGCTCAGGGCGGCTTACAACAGTAAATATCAAGATCCCTCCCTACTGTATAGTGGCTAGTGTCAGACTAGCAACTGGGAGACCCAGGTTCGAATCCTCATTCTGTCATGGAAGCTTGCTGGATGACCTTGGGCCAGCCACACTCTCTCAGCCTAGCCTCCCTCACAGGGTTATCCTCACAGGATAAAATGGAGGAGAGAAGAACAATGTAAGCGACGTTTGGACCCCATTGCAGAGACAGTCAGGATATAAATAAAGTAAATAAATATTCTGACCATCTCTTGGGGTCTCTCTCACGTTAAGCTTTCATGTCACCTTCTGCCTGATTCTTAAAAAACAAGAACACCTGGGGGATGCCAAAGCCTGAATGTGGAGAATGCAAAGCAGATAAACCGTACCTCCAGCCCTGATTCAAATGGTATTGTATTTATAACCAGATTACTGATTAACTGAAAAGCTCTTTTAAAAACATCATACTGGTGATCCCACCTTGGGTCCCCAGCGAGAAGCGTCTAGTCATGCCGGCCACATGACCACGGAAATGTCTTTGGACAGTGCTGGCTCTTCGACTTGGAAGTGGAGATGAGCACCGCATCCCTAGAGTCAGATTCGACTGGCTTTCGAGCAAGGGAAACCTTTACCTTTAAGGTTACCATATTTTGAAAAGCAAAAAAGGGGACATAGTTCCCAACTGACTACTTCGAACAAGTGGTCACTATGACGAATCTCATTTTAAATATCCCTATATATAATTGCAAATAGATAAATAGGTACCACTTCAGTGGGAAGGTAACAGCGTTCCGTGTGCCTTGGTGTTTAGTCACGCTGGCCACATGACCACGGAGACGTCTTCGGACAGCGCTGGCTCTTTGGCTTTGAAACGGAGATGAGCACTGCAACCCTAGAGTTGGATTCGACTGGCTTTCGAGCAAGGGAACCTTTACCTTTACTATGCTATTTAAGCGTGATAATTGCCACTACTAATTCCCGCTACTAACTAGGACTGTTCCTGACCTTCCAGCCCCAAAAGCGGACATTTCAATCAGTTTTTTAAAAAGAGCCCAAAGGGGACGGGACACCAAAAAAAGAGGACATGTCCTCTAAAAAGAGGTCATCTGGTAACCCTAAATAATCACAATAGTTAGAGTTAGACTAGCATCGGGGAGTCCCAGATTCGAATTCCTCCCTCTCCCCTGGATGGCAGAGGAGGGGGGGGTGCAGCAAAAGGAGCCGTTCTTCCTTCCCTGCAGCTGGCAAAGTGCTCGAAGAACCATGCCCCTGCGTAGGATGCATGGGTGTCAAATCGGGCGCTGCACCGGAGCCGCGGGGGGACCGGCGTGGGCGGCTTTTCCCAAGCGACCGGTCCGGAGCCAGGCGGCGTAGGCGGCCCTCCCGGCACGTCTCTCTCCGGAGCCGGGAAGCGCTCATGCGCCCGGGGAGCGACGTGACAGGGCAGTCCCCCCCCCCCAGTCTCCTCCCCTCGCTGCTCTGCAGTCACTTCCTGCAGCTGTTTCCATCTGCGTCCGGTTGTGCGGCTCTCGCCTCCCCCCGCCCCTGCCGGAGAAGAGCCAAGTGGGCTGGCTGGGAGCGATGGGAGCCCGGTGCAAGTTCTAGCCGGAGAGCCGGGGACCGTGCAAGGCTGGCTCCCCGCGGGCCGAGGGGGACCCCGGCAGGCGCCTCCGGTGACTTCCTCCTGGCTGCAGCGCTTGGGAAGCCGGTAGGTCCCAGCAGGATGGGCTCTCGGGCGCCGGGCTGTGCTTCTGGTCGGACGAAGCCGGGAAGCCGGCAGCGAGGGGAGGCTGGGACTCGGCGCACGCCGCCCTGCACGGCGAAGGGCTGACTTGCGAGGAAGCAGCCTTAAGGTCGGGCTGCCCTTTTCCCTCCCACAGGCGTCCCTTGCAAAGCGGCGTTCTTGGACGCACTTCGGAGCGGTTCGCTTCGCAGAGCGTTCTGTTTTTTCCTTGCGAGTTCCTTTTCGCACGGTAAACGGTTATGTAAGGCTTTGTAGATCGCACACGGAAGGAGCCGACGGATTGTCACGCTTGGAACATGTTAAGCACTCGCTCCCCCCCAGCAGCAGGGGCCCACATTGATCTGAATTGATTTAGAAAATGTGCATGCTTGCTCTCCCGAGACCGACTCGGAAATGCTCCCGGAGAGCTGTGGACGAGAGCCTGATGGCAATCGGAAGTGTACACTGCTTCTGCATGAGGAGGTTCCATTTTTAGTTGTCACAGCTAAAAGCTGTGCACGGGTCGTCCTCCATAAATCCGTGTATTCTTTTTAAAAAAGAATCTTAGGCTAAGGACTGTGATGTGGCATCAATCCCATCAGTCAATAACTGTCGTTTTGAAGGGCAAAATTATAGTCTTGTGTCACTATAGTGTCACTATAGTCATTGCAACAGGCACACACACACACACAGATGATTTGTATTGTATATAAAGGGAGCCGATGATCAAAGACCGGAACCTATTCAGAATCATTTCAGGGAATTCCAGAACCGAAACTTGAATCCAGTCCTCTTCGATTTAAACTCCGTGGTCTCCCCTTTGTTCCACCCCAGGAAGATCTCTTGTGCTTCTGGCGTTCTCCCATGTTTCCCTGTACATTTTGTTGCTGTTATCAGCCTTCAGGGGAATGGCTTAGCTCTCTTGATGGTTCATCTGTTTATTTTTTGTTCTGTTTAATTGTGGATTATTTTTTTTGGGTACTGTAGCTCAGGGCAGTGCAACCTTCTTTCTGGACTGTACCACTTCAGAATGGTGGTGCTGTTTCGGTGTCTTCCTCCATTCATGTGAACAGGCTAGCATTTCTCCTGAATGTACTAGCTTTGTATTTGCAGGGTCTTCTTGCATAAGGAATCATTAGAGTGTGTCATCTCCCACTGGCCTGCAGTCTGAATGAGCCCCATGGAGGACTGTAATCCACGATTCTTTCTGAACGGGGCTTCACACCTCCTATGGGAAGTGACGCTGGGTAACCTCTGGGGAAGGAAGTTCCACATCTGTGAGCCAGCTGTTGAATACATTTCTTTATATGCCCAATAGCTGAGTCTAATCCAAGGCAGGTGTACTTGGAAGTAAGTAGCCTTTTATTCAGTGGGAATTGCTCCCGGGGAACCGTTCTTCGGCCTACACTTAGTGCAGCAGAAGTAGCCCAGTCACTGTGGGGAGCATGGATGATGGTGAAAAACAATAATTAGGGGAAATGGCTTTCAGAATGCACACGTGATTGCCTTTATCGGAGGGTACCTTTTATAAATAAGAAGAGTCAAGGCAGTGGCTGTTCTCATTAAAGTTGCAGATGGTTTACGTCTCCAATTAAGCCTCTCGTGTGCAGTCTTCCAATCCCTTTGCGGAACTTCCACCTTGCAAGCTGGAATTTTCCAGGCGTGGTCTTGTGCCCCACAAAGGAGGTCAAACAGGAAGAAACAGGAATATTCCAGTGTTTTCTTGGATGATAGATAATTGGACTGTGTACCTCGTAATGAATGGGGGATTAGCGCAAAAGGCTTATAAAAAGGCTGCCTTGAGCCTGCCTGGGTGGGGTATAAATTGAATAAATAAATAAATAAAATGAGGAAAAGCAGTGGAGAAAAAGACACCAGCCTTAGTTGTTAAGTTCTGGCAATATACAGGTCTCCCTTCTGTATTTCCCCCAGTTATAATGATGGATGACTATGGGCGCTTTCTCACGTGCTAAATAATGCAGTGTCAATCCGCATCAGTGACCATTTGCAAGTGGATTTTCCCATCTCATACAGTAAAAGCCAGCTGCAAAGTATATTGAAAGTGGATTGAAAGTATCTTATTTTGTGTGTGTGAAAGTGCCCTTTTTTGTCACCAATAGTCACTCTTCCTCCTATTATCATCTTTCTTGTAAAAGCCAGTTCTCATAAGAATATAAAAAAGAGTTCTGCTGGATCTGACCAGTGGCTCATCTAGGCCAGCATCCTGTTCTGCACAGCAGCGAACCAGTTGCCTTGGAGGACCAACGGACAGTGCATAGAGGTCAGGACATTGCCTCCTGGCAGGACCAGGTTTGGAAAAGCAGGCCTGGCCCATCCCTGTTTCCATTTGAGCCAGCCTCTTGAGTGGTAGATGGTTGGTAGTGGTAGAAGAGGAAGCGGACTTGGGGAGGTGCAAAGACTGGGACTCTGTCGTCCTTCCTTTGGTGTCTGTCCTTCATATGAACTGATATATTTATTCTGTTTATTTTTTGTTTTACAAAATTCTGACCTTGCCTTTCTACCCTCATAAGGGCTGCCAAGGCAGCCAGCAAATTTAAAGAAATCTCATAAAATCCTGTTTTAAAACCAACAAAAACACATCATTAAAACAGTATAAAAACCATTAAAATGGCATAAGCCAGTTCCTAAAATTATGCCCGTACTGCTTGAAGCCCTCTGAATCAAATTCAGTGTTGTGGCTGCCAAGGCTTCTGGGTTGTTGTTGGGGTTTTTTTGGTAGTTCCAGCCAGCAAAACCAGAAGGTCTGTCAAAGCCTGGCAGGCTGCGAGATGTGGCTGTTGGCTTCTGTTTGGCTTGGTGGTTCCCCAGTTGTGTGGTGCACTGAGTAGTGTGAATCCAGATATCTGACGATATCTGACGAAGGAAGTGTTGACTCTTGAAAGCTCATCTTGTTGATCTTTGAGGTGCTACTGGACTCGAATCTAGCTCTTCTAAGTAAAGGTAAAGGTTTCCCTTGCTCAAAAGCTAGGGGGGGGTGCTCATCTCTGTTTCCAAGCCAGCGCTGTCTGAACAATTTTCTGTGGTCATGTGGCCAGCATGACTAGACGCTGAGGTGCACAGAACGTTGTTACCTTCCCACCGAAGCGGTACCTATTTATCTACTTGCAGTTTCTTGCTTTCATAGAATCTTAGATTGTTAGAGTTGGAAGGGACCTTGCAGGTCATCTAGTCCAACCCCCTGCACTCTGCAGGAGCATAGCCGAAAGAAAGCCCTACAACATACCCGGAAGATGGTCGTCCGACCTCCGCTTGAAAAAATCCAGCGAAGGAGCATCCACCACCTCCCAAGGCAGACTGCTAGGTTGGCAGGAGCTCGGGCCAGAGATGGGAGCTCACTCCATCACGCGGCACTAGGGTCTCAAACTGCTGAACTACAGACCTTCCGGTCTGCAGGTCAGCGTCTTAACCTCTGAGCCAGCGCAGCCTCCCTAGCTCTTTTACTGCATAGGAACTCGACTGCCTTCTGAAATCATGTAAATCCAAGGCAAGGGTATGCAGATAGTTGGAGCAGGGGTTTTATTGGTAGCGTATAATCTCTCATTGCAGGTCACACAAGGACTGACTGTGAGATTTGGGTGGCTTAGATGGCCCAGGCTAGCCAGACCTCATCAGACCCTGGAAGCTAGGCAGGTCATCCCCTGTTTAGTACTTGGATGGGAGACCTCCAAGGAATTTCAGGGTTGCTGTGCAGAGGCAGGCAACAGCAAATCACCTCTGTTCATCTCTGGCCTTGAAAACCCCATAAGGAGTCTCCATGAGTCCATTGTGACTTGAGGGTGCTTTTCACCACCAGGCAAACTATTATTTTTGACACCCCTCCTCTGTGTTCATTATAGACGAAGCTAAGTTTTTATTATTATTATTGTTGTTTAATAGGGAAAAAGAAATTCACTTCTGTAATTTGGCACTCCACCTTAAAGGTGGCTGCCTAGTTTGCCTCTGTGACTGGGTCAGCCCTGAAGTCATAGGTTCAAGCCCCTGGCATTGCCCATGAAAGGGTCTCAAGCAGCAGATGTAGGTGGCAGCCCTTCTGTGCCTGACCTCCTGGAGAGCCACCGCCAGTCAGTGCACTGAGCTACACAAACCACTGGTCAGACACCCAGTGAGGCAGTTTCATATCTTCAACAGAAGAAGCGGAAGAAGTGGAGCTATGCAAAGTGACAGGGGTTGTTTCCCTTCTCTGTGGTTCTTGCTAAGTCATGTGGGACAAGAAGAAAAGATGAAGAGATTGGATTCATACCCCGCCCTTCACTACCCAAAGGAGTTTCAGAGTGACTTACAATCTCCTTTCCCTTTCCCTCCCCACGACAGGCACCCTGTGAGGTAGGTGGTGCTGAGAGAGCTCTGAGAGAACTGCCCTTGAGAGAACGGCTCTGAGAGAACTGTGACTGACCCAAGGTCACGCCAGCACCTGCATGTGGAGGAGTGGGGAATCAAACCTGGTTCTTCCAGGTTAGAGTCCACATTGCTAACCACTACACCAAACTGGTTCTCTCTCTCTCTCTCTCTCTCTTTTGCTTTTTAAAGCTCTGTTTATTTGCTGGATTTTGAGGCAAGGTTCCCATTTTTGTTTTGGAAAGAAGGGGAAAAAGAGGAAGACCGGAGTCACAACCTACAGAAAGGCAATGGCAAACCACCTCTGCTCCTTTGGGTAGTGAAGGGCGGGGTATAAATCCAATCTCCTCCTCCTCCTCTTCTGAGATAAAAATATAACAGCGGTGGCAGATCTACACACGTTTCTATAAAAGAATTCCAAATGTCTAAAAATAAGTCTGTACACAGTCGTCATCTATATGCCACACGTTCAAATATTGATAGGGTTCTAAGATCCTCAATCCATTGATTTACCAGAAGAGGGCATTTAGACCAAGTCTTCCTGAGTGGTCTCCCACCTGTGGTTGACCCTGTTTAGCTCTCCATCCCAGATGAGTTCGGGCCAAACGGAGCTAATCAGGATGCTGGCCTAAGTGGTTGTATGTGTGTGCATAACCTGCAATAAAAGATATCACCTCCAACCCCTTTTTTCCTGAAAGTATGTTGGAGACCGCTGATTAGTTGACTTTCTCTGTGTTTCTGGTCCAGAGCCGTTCCTTCTCCGCCTTCCAAAGAAGCATGCCGGAAGGTCTCTTGACCAATGATTCTCCTGCAGCAAGCCGGACCGCCTCTTCCTCCTCCTCCTCCTGAGAAGCTGCCATCGCTTCCTATGTCAGTGGCCACCAGGCCTGCTGCCAACTTGCTACTGTCCCCACAGAAACCCCTCGGCCTGGGGTCATCCTTGCCGCTTGCCCAGGATGAAGAACTGGCTACGGTGGTGGAGCAGGACCCGGTCCTGGAGGAACTATGCAAACCTTTGTGCTGCAGACTTTGTAACGTCACCTTGAATTCTGCCCAGCAAGCCCAGGCTCATTACCAGGTAATGGTGGAGGGTGCCAAGTGTCTTCAGGGCATGCAGGCTTTTAAAGCGGGGGGGGGGCTGCAACCTCTGGCTCTTGAGCCAGATGTGGCTCTTTGAAAAAAAATATCTTTCCAGTAAGTGGATATTGGTGATGTAGGTGGGGTGCTAGAATGCCCAGTGTTTGAAGGGAATGGCAGGCAAAGGTTTTTTTTAATAGGATTAAAAGCCTTCTTGGAGACAAGGAAGTGACCATGGCTCAGTTGGTAGAGCCTCTACTTGGCATGCGGAAGATCCCAGGTTCAATTCCCAGCATCTCCAGTTAAAAGAACCAGGCAGTAGGTGATATGAAAAGCCTCTACCTGAGACCTTGGAGGGCCACGGCTGGTCTGAGTATACAATATTGACCTCGGTGGACTGATGGGCTGGTCTACTATACAGCAGCTTCATGTGTTCATGTGACAGAGGTGGACAGTTGCCAGCAATCACACTGCAAACCATGCACAGATTGATTTATTATTTTTATTTGCATCATCGTTACCCTGCCTCTGTCCCCAGAGGAGGCCCAGAGCGGCTGATGTCATTCTCCTCTCTTCCATTTTATCCTCATGACAGCCCTGTGAGGTTGGTTAGGCTGAGAGTCGTATGACTGGCCCAAGGTCACCCGGGAAGCTTCCAAGTCAGAGTGAGGATTTGAACCTGATACTCTAAGCAGTATACCACACTGGCTTGCCAGTGTGCTAAAGCAATTGTGCAGCGTGCACATGAGTTTGTTTATTATTTATTGTAAGACCTTGTGTGTGCCGCTTTCCCATGAAGGACTTCCAACAACCAGTGTTTGGGCTGCAGAAACTGGGTAATAAACATGTTTATTATTACTAGTAATGTTAATTTGCCCTGATCCGGATGTTCTCATCGGAACTTGGAAGCTAAGTGGGGTAAGCCCAGGTTCTTGGTTGGGAGGCAACCAAGAAAACCCAGGGTTATACCTCGGAGGCAGATGGGTAGCCATGTTAGTCTGTCTGTAGCAGGAGAAAAGAGCAAGAGTCCAGTCGCGCCTTAAAGACTAACAACATTTGTGGCAGGGCAGGAGCTTTTGTGAGTCACTCAAGAATTGACCAGTGACTCACAGAAGCTCATAACCTTGCCACAAATTTAGTAGTCTTTAAGGTGCTACTGGACTCTTGTTCTTTTCTGTTACTCAGAGTTGGCACTGGTAAACCACCTCTGTTCATCTCTTGCTTTGAAAACCGCACGAGGGGGAGCTGCAAGTCAGCTGTGACAAAACCACATCTTAATTTGGGTATTTTCACTTATACAAATGAGCTTTCTTATACCAGCTCTTTATTTCTTCCTTTGAGTTTTGAAGGTGGTTTGGCTAAACCCCTGATCTGTTTTCTTATACCAGCTCTTTATTGATCTCTTCCTTTGAGTTTTGAAAGTGGTTTGGCTAAACCCCTGATCTGGTGATTTGTGGGAGAGAGGTCTCTCTAGGGTGGCCCGATCTCTAGGTTTGGCCCTGGGACTCAAGTTCTGAGGTGAAATCTGGGCGGGGAGGGGAGTACATTGCCTAGCCTCCTTACTTGATCATTTTAACACACACCTGCTCTTAGCAAGTACTTTGACACGTGAATTATAGAAGGGAGGGAAGAATCCGGTATGAACAGCTCAGTTACGTTCAGGGGTCATTTCCTGCGGGAGCGCACAGGAGCGGAGCTCCGGCAGTAAAGAGCCCAGGGGGCGGGCACATGCAACAAGCCCTGACCCCTGCTCCCAGCAGCCCTCCGGCAACAAGCAGCCAGGTAAGCTGCAAAGCCCACTCCCCAGTCCAAAATAGTCCAGTGGCACCTTTAAGACCAAGGTTTATCCAGGTACAAGCTCTCCCTCTGCAAGGACAGATCTGCATGTCCCCCCACCCCCCCAATAGCTAGCAATCCAAAATAGTCCAGTGGAGCCTGAGCGGTGGGTGTTGCCTTCTGACACACTTCTGGTGATGTCAGGGTGTGTGGCACATGCAAATAGGTTATGCTAATGAGTTATGCTAATGAGCTCCTGCATCTCTTTTCCTACGAAATGACCCCTGGTTAGGTTTGATGTTTAATTTCTGGGTTATTTTTTTGAAGAAATCATTTTGCGTGGCAGATAGTCTCTGTCTTCAAAACCACAAAGCTATGACTGCACGTAGTCATAGACACCGTGAGGTGCAGTTCTTTGGGGTCGATGGAAATGTTGGCATATATCCAGTCTTGCCCTGACCTGGGTGGCCCAGGCTAGCCCCATCTTGTCTGATCTCAGAAGCTAAGCAGGGTCGGCCCTGGTTAGTACTTGGATGGGAGACCTCCAAGGAGAAGAAGAAGAGACTGGATTTAACACCCTGCCCTTCACTACGCGTAGGAGTCTCAGAGTGGCTTACAATCCCTTTCCCTTCCCCTCCCCACAACAGACACCCTGTGAGGTAGGTGGGGCCGAGAGAGCTCTCCCGAGAACTGCCCTTGAGAGAACAGCTCTGAAAGGCCTTGTGACTGACCCAACGTCACACCAGCAGCTGCATGTGGAGGAGTGGGGAATCAAACCCGGTTCTCCCAGGTCGGAGTCCACACTCCTATCCACTACACCAAAAGGAAGTCCAGGGTTGCTATGCAGAGGCAGGCAATGGCAAACCACCTCTGAATGTCTCTTGCCTTGAAAACCCTGTGGGGTTACCATACATTGGGTATGATTTGACAGCACCTTCCCAGCATTCTACCGCCCAGCTTTGGCTGGAGGAAGATCCTCCATTCCAGGAGCCTTCCTGCAGCTTAAGTGACGTTTTGGGGGGAGAAAGAGCTTCTTGTGTTAGATGAAGGCTCCTTTGGCTGAAGGAAGGCTTCCAACTTGGCTGAGTGGAGTGGTTGGATGAAGGCTGTTACAGTTACTGTCATCATTCAGGGTGATCCTAGGAGGCCCTGTTCCATAATTTGTATTGCTGGCCACCTGACACCTCTTGGTCCTTCTAATACAGTAGCAAACAGCAAGAGTCCAGTAGCGCCTTAAAGACTAACTAAATATGGGGCAGGGTATGAGCTTTCAAAGAGCTGCGGTGGCTCAAGTGGTTAAGACGCTGAACTGCAGGCTGTGGAAGGTCAGTAGTTCAGCAATTCGAGACCCGAGTTGCTGCATGTCAGAGTGAGCTCCCGTCTCTAGTTCCAGCTCCTGCCAACCTAGCAGTTCGAAAGCAAGAAATTGCAAGTAGATAAATAGGGACCACTTCGGTGAGAAGGTAACAGCATTCCGTGCGCCTTGGTGTTTAGTCATGCTGGCCACATGACCACGGAAACGTCTTCGGACAGCGCTGGCTCTTCGGCTTTGAAACGGAGATGAGCACTGCAACCCTAGAGTCGGACTCGACTGGCTTTCGAGCAAGGGAACCTTTACCTTTACTTTATGAGCTTTCATGAGTCACTGCTGGCTTCTTCAGCGACTCACAAAAGCTCCTCCCCTGCCACATATTTCGTTAGTCTTTAAGGTGTTACTGGACTCTTGTTCTTTTCTACTGCCACAGACAGAGGAACACGGCTACCCATCTTGATCTGGTCCTTCTAATGGTATTGATCCTAAGATGCACAGAATGCGGAAAAGCATCCTAAAGATGACGGTGTGTGTATATATAGATGCATTATTCAAAAGGGCTTTTCTACTCAGGTAATAGGGTTGCACCGAACAAATGGTTCACAAACTGACTTGGATAGATGATTAGGAACTGTGGCCTGTACTGCTGTGTATAGCTCACTGTAAGTAAGATTCTGTTGTGTAATCTCTGTACCGCTTAGTGTGTTGTGCGAATATTTATGCTGTGGCTCCAGTTCTTTCTGGTGGTTCCAGACTTCTAAAGTTATAATGCACTGGCTAATGAATGTCCCATTTTTGGTCAATTGTGCTAACTCCTGATGTGTAGTCTGTCTGGTCCCAGTGGAAAAGGCGGACTGTAAATAATGTAAATGAATGAAAATTAAAGGTTAAAGGGCACATGTCAGAAGTATTTCCTAAAACGAAGTGAAATTCAGTAGCCTGTAAGTATAATTGCAGCGTGTACAATTTCAGCAGCTGATGTATGGGTAATTTTATTAATCCATTTCATAAATGCCGTACCTAGGGGGCGGGCACATGCAACAAGCCCTGCCCCCTGCTCCCAGCAGCCCTCAGTCACGCCACGAGGAGCAATAACAGCCAGGTAAGTTGCAGAGAGCCCCCCCCCCGGCCCACCTTCAGGTAGAAGCTCTCCCTCCTCTGTGAGGGCAGATCTGCACATTCCCCCCCCCCAAATATCTAGCAATCCAAAACAGTCCAGTGGAGCCTGAGCGGTGGGTGTTGCTTTCTTCTGACACACTTCCGGTGATGTCAGGGGGTGTGGCATATGCAAATAAGTTATGCTAATAAGTTATGCTAATGAGCTCTTGCACCCCTTTTTCTACGAAATGACCCCACTGGTATTCTTAATATTGGCTCTTGGGTATTGGCCTTGAGGAGACGGTCATTCTGGTTGGTGGTCCTTACCCTCAGCCTTGCTCTCCTTGCGTTGGTTAATATCTACGGCTGCCTATGAGCTGTTAATGCGAGCTCTCTTTCCAGGGTAAAAACCATAGCAAGAAACTTCGAAATTATTATGCTGCCAATAGCTGTCCGGCGCCTGCCAGAATGAGTAGTTCACTTGAGCCTGCCACGCACTCGGTGGCTTCCCTTCCACCCCAGGTGAGTTCTGTAGAGGTGCTATTTTAATGGGATAAAAAAAGTGTGTTTGGTTCCTCCTCAAGAGAAAGCATAATGAATATTGTTCTTGGGGTTTTACATCATAACAAAATCTACCTTGCCTAATTTATCTGATCATTTTATTCCTGTTTTTCTTCCAAGGAGTTTGGAATAACATACAAGGCTCTCCCCTCATTTTCTTTCACAACAGCCCTATGAGGTAGGATAGGTGGAGTGAGAATAACCGGTCCAAGGTGACACAGTGAATTTCATGGCTGTGAGGATTAGTCTGACTCCCCCAGGTTCCTCCCCTTCAACAAACTGCACATCAAGGAAACATCAACACACTCTGATACTTCTCCACATTGTTTATGTTTTGTATGGATCTGAAAACAATGCTTCCTGTTGGCTTTTGCCCTGCAAACCCCTTGCCCCATTCCTTCGTTCCAAAACCATGTTTGGCTGGGTCGCATTCAGAACAGGTGAGCATTTCTCCCAGATGTTAGGTCTGGAAGCAATGCTGTGCATGCATCATCTACGTCAGGTCTGTACAACTTCTGCGAAGAAGAGTTGGTTTTTATACCCTGCTTTTCTCTACCCAGAGGAGTCTCAAAGCGGCTTACAATTGCCTTCCCTTCCTCCCCCCCCCCCAACAGGCACCTAGTAGGGCTGAGAGAGTTCTGAGAGAACTGTGACTGGCCCAAGGTCACCCAGCAGGCTTCATGCGGAGGAGTGAGAAGTCACACCCAGTTCTCCAGATTAGAATCTGCCAGTCTTAACCACTACACTACCCTTGTGCGGTCCGACTCACAATAGCTTATGGGAGAATAAATTTTGTTAGTTTTAAGGTGCCACCGGACTCCTGTTTTATTCCGCCGCTACAGACAAACATGGCTGGAATTATTCTAACCACTCCTGGCTCTTACTTGGGCTATAGCTGATGGCTTTAATGGGGTCGTTCACTTACCTCCCTTTTTGGTGGGAATGGGATTGCCTTTCTGTATGTCATTTCAGGGTCCACGTGAATATTCAGTTCCTTCCCCACCTGAAGCCACCTCCCCTACGGAAGCACATAGCAATTTTCCCTCGCTTAGGTAGTTTTTGAAAAGGGATTAAATCCATCCAGCGGAAGGATAGAAGCCACAGCAAACCAAATGGAGCTTCCATCATTAGGGGCAGCGTACCTCTTCAGTGCTGGGTGGTGACAGAAACACGGCTCAGCTGTTAGAGCATGCACTGTCGTGATGTCACCCGTATTGCAGGTTTCCTCCCTCCTTCCAGCAGATGGGAAAGAGGTAGGGTCACTTGCAACATGATCTCAGCAGGGTAAGAGGTGAGAATCCTTGCACATTTGGGGTAGGGCGAGAGGGATGCCGCTGTTGGTAGCGTCCTGTCCTTAGGTCACCCACGATGCCTGACTCTAGGGTACTAAACGAGGTCATTGATCTGTCACTTGAACTAATGAACGAGGGCTTTGATGTTGGCGAAGCTGGAAGTGGCTGATGGGGTCAGCCGCCTGGAGGAGACAATACCTTTTTTTGCTTTTTTACAAGCAAGAGTCTGCTCTAAAACCTGCCAGTGTCTACCCTTTAGAATCTATAGCGTGTTGATCTAGAGGCTTAGATCAATAGTAAAACCAAGGATCTAAGAGGGCTGAAGCTTAGATATTATTTATCTTTCTTCCTAAGCCAAGCACTTACATGTATCTAACACTTGAATGTCATTTTAACACTTGGATTCTTGATATAACTAACTCATTGGCCGGACGGCAGCTTTGTTACACCAGGCAAAATTCAGATCTCTTGCACAATGTCTTGCAGCGTTACACACTGCTTTGTTTTTGTGCATTGTGTGTGTGAAGGTGAACTTGGTGGCAGCCAGCACGTTCTAGTATAGAACCGGCAGCTTTGTTACTTAAAACTCTGCAGTTTGTCTATATGGTAAAGTTGGCACCCTCCAGCAGGTGGCACCTGGAAACCTCCCGCAATTACAGTTGATCTCCAAATGACCAAGATCAGCTCCCCTGGAGAAAGTGGCTGCTTTGGAGGGTGGACTCTGTGGCATTGTACCCTGCTGAGGTCCCTGCCCTCCCCAAACCCCGCCCTCCCCTGGCTCCACCCCCAACATCTCCAGCTATTTCTCAATCCAGAGTTGGCAGCCCTGCGGGATGGCCCAGCTTTGTTACGTTTGGTCCTACGTATTAAGATTGAGAGCTATTAAGAACCAGTTTTGTACGTGTCTTACAGTGAACGTCTGTCTGTAATCCGGCTAGTGATGACAATTCCCAACACGTTTGGACATCTCAGTGTCGGAAAATTCTAAAAACACTCACTGGTGTATGTTTGACTGTTAATGTGCCAGTGAGTGCCATAGTCACACTTATCTGATAAGCGGAGAAGTAAATATTATTCAGAGACAGACCTTGCCCAGGGGTTGCCAGCGTTCATCAGATTTTGCAGTCTGTTGAGATGGATCCTAAAACCTTGTTCCCCACGTGCATTAAAGAACATTTAGTTTTCTTTATTATATTTATACCCCCCTTTTCAACCATTAAGTAGCTTGTGATGTTTTAAACGTGCAATCTTAACTCTCTCTCGCTTCCGAATATGTAAACTCCTGATGCTGAAGGGATGTTTTAGCTCCTTGTCCTAGAATGAGAGGCCTTGATGATCTCAGGGGAAGCAGGGTAGAGATTTCTGCTGTCTGAAATATAAGAGGCCCTGACCTGGATAGCCCAGGCTAGCCTGATCTTGTCAGATCTCGGAAGCTAAGCAGGGTCGGCCTTGGTCACTATTTGGATGGGAGACCACCAAGGAATACTAAGTTTCTCTGCAGAGGCAGGCAATGGCAAACCACCTGTGAATGTTTCTTGCCTTGAAATCCCCACCAGTGACTGCTGTAAGTCAGCTGTGACCAATGTTCCTCTAATTCCCCCCCCCCTGCTGCGATCTTAAAATGGGCACTGGGCAGTGCAAGACCCTGCGTGGCTCCAGAATGCTGCTGAGCGGGGCTTTTTGTGTTGAAAGAG